GTGAGGTTAATGGTTGGACTCAATGATCTTACAGGACTTTTCCTGATTGTGGCAATTCTGGGATTCTGTGAAAGTACCGAGCTCTGTGCTGAGTCAGCAGCTCCAACACTGCTTTCCCAGAGTAGATTCAATTGGCACTAATTCTATCACAGAGCCGTTGATGTCCCATCACTGCAGTGCCCCAGCCTGACCCTGCTTACTGGCTCAGGGCTCCTGCTCTCTGGTTGCCACTCTTGTGCTATGTCCGTAAGTGGTCTCTGGGGCTATGCAAAGCACACCCTGTGTTCCCTCACTGTCTGTGACTGTGTCTTCCTTTCTCTGCTCCCCCAAACAGATACACCTATGGAAAAGGTGTCCAGGGGATGGTTCATGTGAGACTTTGTCAGAAGATAGCACCGTTCCTGCCCACTGCTTCGAAACCTGATCTTTGTCAGGAATTCAACAGCCAGGTGAGATGCTTAGGAGGAGCTGAGCAGTGTTCAGAGACATTGGTGCTCAGCTCCAGGGTAAGGCAAGGCTGCTGGAGACCTTACCTGAAGTAATAGATGTTACCCCATGGTTTTGGCTGCTTGGCCAGTGGTCTTCTGGTGCTGCCGCTTACTGTCTGTGCCTGGTGACTATGACTGGGTGTGCATCATGTTTTGATACCCCTACCTGCTTTGGCAGGGGAATTGGACTAGATGATCTCCAGAGATCCCATCAATGTCCCCACCATTCTGTGATTCTATGTGCCTGCTCCTCATCCTGGTCGGCTGTGTTGAAGGGCAAGCTGCCCCAGAGCAGAGATTTTGTGCTGCTATTTCTGCACCATTTGGGTAACTTCTGTCATAAGTGCCTTGCCCAGACCTTGTTTCCTCTCTCTGTCCTTTCAGACAGACAAGATGGGTTGCTTCTTCACAAATGTGAGTCTGTCCTCCTTCAGCCGAGATTTTCGGTACTATCAGGACAGCATCGTTGCAGAGGCCTCGCTGGTGGAGGATGGCACAGGTAACTCTGGAAACATTTCTGGTGGCTGGGAAGAGGCATGTGAAGAAGATGCACTAATCTTACCAAGAACACTGGAGACTTCCAGGCTAGTGAGGACTCTGAGCTTCCTGAGCCTGTCTGGACCTGCCATCTAACCTCACAGATACAGACAGAGCCACCAGTGACTGATGGCACAACACACTCAGAGTGCCTGAGATCTTGGGTGGTGAAGCTTAGGGACCTCTCTAAGGGCTAGAAGTGGGAGGAAGACTAGATACCCAGAGCTCTGGGCAGATCATCTCCCTGGTACGAAATGTGTGTGCAGCTCAACATGCATCAGTATTACCAGTGGGTCACTCTGCAGGGCAGTTCCTGAGGGGTGCTTGGCTTCCTCACTCCCTCTCTAATGTTTCTGTCTCACTGCTTTTATTTAGAGATACACGTCAATGCTTCCCACAAGTTCCTCATCTCCAAGATGGGTGGGATAGCCTTGTTTGATGGTGTGAATTCTTACTACCACACTGGAGAGATGTACGAGGGGAAGGTAATTCCCAGTTATAGTCCTTTGGAGGGGAGAGCATGAGCAATGCCTTCACAGTCACTTACCTAGCATCCTGTCCCACCTCACCTCCAGCCAGGAGCTTAGGATGGCATGAATGAGTCCCAGAGACAAAACTCTTGAATTATCAGAAGTGAGAAAAATACCCCAGACTGCTGTTTGCCAAATAAGCCTTGGGTAGTAGCAGCTATGGGGATCCATAAGTGGGGTGGAAACCCAAACGTCTGGAATTCCAGCAGCCAGGAGACCTTCTGCTGTGAAGGGGTAGAGAGCGTGAGGGTGATGAACACAGCAGTGCAAGTGATAGTGGGAGGTGACCAGTTGCAGAGTTGATAGTATTGTTAGAGTCTGGGAGGGTGACCTTGCTGTCTTTGAAAATACTGCTCCTGACTTGGAGAAGCAGGAGATTCTGACTCTTCTACACTTCTCTTACATACCACAGATTAAAGTCATCAACTACCAAGGCAAGGCACTGAAGCACAAAGAAGTCCTCCTGGTGGTAAGCTGTGGCGAGCAGCAATTTAAGCAGAAGTTCATCACTGGGGACTCTGGGACAGCTTCATTTAGCCTCAACACAACTGCTTGCAACAGCACCCCAGCCTCCCTGGAGGTAAGTGAGGAAGGGTCTGTTGTGTTGGCAGATGCATCTCAGAGCCATTTACCACCCCACAGACATCTCCCCTGTTCCTTCTTGAAGGGCAGTAATTCAAACTGGAAACACCTCAGCATGTTCTGGATCTTGGCTTTCTCTGAGAGCTTCTTCTCCAGATCCCCATTGTTTTCCTCCCTGTAGAGAGACCTGTGCTGTGGTGCTGCTCAGACCCGATCTGAGCTTCTTACCAAGCCACAGCCAGGGTGATTTGCAGCTGACTTGTTTAACTGGAGAAATTAACTGTGGTTTGTTTGGGTTTTTTTGGTCTCACCAGGCAAGTGTCCTGCATCAAGATTTGGATAAAGAGCCTGGGTCAGTTGATTTGAGTTACCAACAAGCCTCTCATTTCATACGTCCATTCTACAGCACCAGCAGGAGTTTTCTCTCTATTGTCCGTGTGCCGGAAACGATGCCCTGTGGTAAAAAACAGGCTGTGCAGGTGGACTTCAGAATTTATGAGGAGGACCTAGAACACGGGCCCAAGCGTGTCATTTTCTCCTACTTCGTGAGTTTCTAGGGAAGAGCTAGTGGGTGGTGGCTCAAGGCACAAGATTGGCATCTCCTACAAATACAAGCTTGGTGTTTGCTAGATTTGGCTCAGCACAGGACAGGTAGCTCATCCAGCCTTCACAGATTTGGGTCCTGTTTCAATCCTGGGGCTGCAGTAATAGCAAGAAAAGCAGCACCTTTCTTTTGGGCTCTGCACAGGTACAGGACAGGTATTGGCCTTACCTGTCCTCCCTCAAGATCCTCTAGGTTCTTCTGAGGGCTCCTGCCCCATTTAATCTCCAAGTTCAGGATTATTTTGATTTGCACAGTGATCTCAAAGTTTGTGTAACTGCCATTCCCTTCCCTTTCTATGTTCTTCCCTAGGTCACAGGGAAAAGAGGGATAGTCCATGCAGGTCAGAAGACTGTTTGGGTTGGGCTGCCAGGAAGTAAGTGCACTCCCCTGTTTCATGTCTAGCAAGTGGTCTCTGGTCCCATCTGATTTGGAAATGTGGCACAAGCCTCTCTGCAATTTAGAGCTGGCTCACCACTTGTCTGTTCCATCAGAGCAGTGTGCCTTTCCAGCTTTCATGTTTCCTTTACCCTTCTGCTTGGTACCAAGAGAACAATACTCAACATTTCCCAGCCTGTAGGCTCATCCTCTGTTTTCTTCATTTTTCAAAGAAGTCTCCTTTTGTTGCCCCTGCAAGAAGCATGAAACCATAACCTTACCCTTTATCAAAACTCTCCTGCTTTAATTTGCAATTCTGTCTAAAAGCAATCTTTGAGTAGTTAGGATGCCACAGCTTATCATTTCGATGGATGTTGACTCACTATTGTCTACTTCTCCAGCTCTTTTTTTTAAAGCCTAAAGGATAGGTGCTTTGGGACAAAGGTCACTTCTTTGTTGGTGATGGCATGGGAGATGTTTGGTGATGGGTGGCTTTGGAAGCTGTCTGAGACTCTCACTCTTTGTGGAGCTAAGGTTGAACTCCAAAGAGCTGTTTCATCTCCTTGAGGCAAAGAACAGAACCAGGAGGAGACTTTTGCTGGTCTTGAATACCAGATTCAGAGATGTGCTGGTTGCTTCAGTAGTCTCCAGAGATCTCTGTGGTCCTGAAAGACTTGAGGAAAGAAATTAAAAAGGCACATGCAGAATGGCAAAAGCTGATTAGAGTCCATTTTCACTATCAAATCTACTTTCTCCCCTCTCTCCTCCATCTAGTGCTGAAAGGCTTCTTCTCCATCCCTCTTACCTTCAGCTTGATCCATGCCCCAGCTGTGGGACTTGTTGTTTATGTTATCTTCCCTAATGGAAAAATCATTGCGGATTCTGCCGTCTTCAGTGTCTCCATGTGTTTCAGAAATAAGGTAGGACCTGTCTCTGAGGCCATGACTAGGCGAGTGAGAGCGTATGTGTCTGCTGCAATGAGAGAAGAGACTGAGGAACACACGGTATGGGTAGCGGTGTGTGGCTGCCACCGTGTGGGATGCTGTCACGTGAACTCCAGTATGGGAATGGTGAAGTGTGCTGTGATGTATGGAGCAAGCACGTGCTGAGCGTTGTGTTTGAGAAAGGCAGAGAATTGCTGTGTCATCTCCATGGGCTTGTCTAGCAACTGTGACCCAGTAGGATCACAGCCCAGCACACGTTCTTAGTGTGACTCCCATAAAAGCTCAAAGCTGCTTTGCTGCCACAGCAGACACTTAGATTTGTTAGTATTGGGAAGACAGCTGAAAATGGTTGATGGAAGAAGTGGATTTTACTGGTCATCTAGAAAGGGCTGACCACTTGTGGTCATTGTGACATCCATGGGAATCTTCTTTCTTGGCTGTATCTTGAACTCCAAAGATGGAGTCATGGAGTCCATTTGTCATGGACAGTCAGATTCAAGCAAGAATGTGAAGTGCTTCAGGAAACAGACCAACCTCACAAAGAACCTGGAGATAAGGACTAGGCTTATTTTTGATCTGAGGCCCCAAAAGGAGCAGAAAGACAGCTGTGTGAGGTGTGTGACCAGACAGGGCTGTGTTCTGACTCAGGAATGTCTCCGGTAGTGTGAGCTGCGCACACTGATGGTTCCCCCTCTTCCATCTTTCCTGTTAAAACCTCAATGTGATGTCTTTTTAAATTCTGTCTGGGGGTCCTTGGGAGATTCCTCAGGTTTCCATCCAAGGCAGGTCCTTGGAAACTGTCTTCATGTAAGACCCTTCCCTCACTCAGGAAGTGTAAGGGTGGCCAGCAGCAGAAATATCACTCACCTATTTCCTGTGTTCCTCCCATCCAGGTGGACCTGAGCTTCTCAAAGCCTGAGACCCTTCCTGATTCAGAGGTTGGTCTCCAGTTGCTGGCAGCTCCTGGGTCCACGTGTGCTGTCTGGGCTGTGGATCAGAGTGCCCTTTTCCTGAAGCCAGGAAAAGAGCTCAGCAGCTCCTTGGTGAGTGAGCCGACTCCAGCTTCTTCCCTTCCCTGGTACTGACATGAAGAGGGAAGGGAGACAAACAGGCAGGCCATTGTATCTTCAGGTCCCTTCCAACCCAAACCATTGTATCAAAAATAGTGTGACCAGTAGGACCAGGACAGTGATTGCCCCCCTGTCCTGGGCACTGGTGAGGCTGCACCTCAAGTGCTGGGTTCAGTTTTGGGCCCCTGACTCCAAGAAGGACATGGAGGTGCTGGAGCGTGTCCAGAGAAGGGCAACAGAGCTGGGGAAGGGTCTGCAGCACAAGTGTGATGAGTTCATGGCTGAGGGAACTGGGGTTGTTGATCCTGGAGAAAAGGAGGCTGAGGGGAGACCTTCTGGCTCTCTCCAATTCCCTGCAAGGAGGGTGTAGAGAGGTGGGGGTGGGTCTGTTCAACCAAGGAACAAGTGACAGGACAAGAGGAAATGGCCTCAAATTGCTCCAGGGGAGGTTCAGATTGGATGCGAGGAAAAACTTCTCCACCAAAAGGTTAGTGAAGGATTGGAACAGGCTGCCTAGGGAGGTGGTGGAGTCACCTTCCCTGGTGGGATTTAACAGGTAGATGAGGTGCTCAGGGACATGGTTTAGAGGTGGAATTGGCAGTGTTTGGTTTATGGTTGGACTCAATGATCTTAAAGGTCTTTTCCAACCACTATGATTCTGTGATCCTGTCATCTGTGCAGAGCTTATCTCTCAAGGAACCTAAAGCACTGCCCAGAAGGATCAGCAGTGCTCTCAGTGTGGCATGGGTAAGGATTAGGGGGTGTCCATCAAGAAAGAAGTTGAACATCACTCAGTGCACTGGTGGTAAATGAGCTTCTGTTGTTCTGTCTCGTGTTCAGTTCAGC